CTGCGACCTTGACCTGGTCCGCCTTGCTGCTCGAGCTGCCCTGCGCTATGGCCCTGATCATTCGGCTGGCCTCCTGCGCCTGTCCCTGGGCTGTCGCGATCGCCGTCATCTGCTCTTTTACGGTGGTCGTGGCCCGCTCGAGCGCCTCCTGCTGCGACGCCTGAAAGGCCATCACCCCCTGGATCATGGCCTTCATCTCCTGAAATTGACTCTCGACCATGCCCTTCATGTCCCTCTCGGTCTTGGCCTGGTACTCGCGCATCTCCTCGAGTGGGTCGGAGGCGGTGTCCATGGCCTCCGCGTCGCTCTCTGGCTTGCGCTTCGCTGAGGACGCCCGGCGAGCTGCTGCTGCTGCGGACCTCTGTTCCGCCTGATCCTTCTGCAGCGCCTCGGTGACCTTCGCCTTCGATACGCCGGCTGCCGAGCCGTCATGAATGAGCCGCCCGCCAGACCTCCGGCCATCATGCCCGGGTGAAGAGGTAACGGAGATCTCTCGGCTCCAGGAGGTGGCTTGGGCACGCATATCAAGGCCTGCCACTGTGGCTCGGCGGTCGCGCCCTGAGCCCAACCTTGTCCACGCAGCGTGCACGCGGCGTCCTTCTTCTTGCACAGGCACATCTTCTCCTCTTTCACGGTCCCTTTTGTCGGCCTCAGCTCCCAGTATCCGACCCTCATCGTGCACCTGCTGCATACGAACCACTTCCCCCACGAGTTGGCTCCGTAGTTCACGAGCGTCCGCGGGTGCCAACACGTCTCGTACGCTTCCGAGAGGCGACGAAGAGACTTGGGCAGGTTGGTCGGCCAGAAGCGCTTGGCGCGGCACATACTCCCGAACTCTTCGGCCATACGCGCCGACCAATATAGCACCCGCCCGGCTAAGCAGGCCCATCCCTTCTCGCCCATGTTGAGGTTCTCGGGGACGTAGGTCCCGGTGGCCCCGTAGACCCATGCTGAGTCTGTCTGGCTCTGCATGCGATCCGTCATCGTATGTGGCCGCTCCTGAGCTCCACGACGCCCCCTCTGGCCTGCCACGCGGGTCGTCGAAGCAGCTGGCGGCGTCGCGATCTGCTCTCCAATCGGCTTCTGAGTTGTCGAGGCCGTAGCCGAATTGCTGTGAGCTGAATGATTCGAGCCCAAGTGCTGCGAAGAAGGCGGACGAAGTCGAGGCTGGCCTCGTGGCCCACGTCGGCCACCTCCAACCCCGCGCTGTCGACCCTCCCCTGGCTCTGAAACGTCTCGACCTGGAACTCAAAGCCCTGGCGAGTCCCGAAGTACACGTACTGCTCAGCGCGGAGTCGGAGGTACCGCCCGACTCCAGACCCCTTAGTGGACCGGTTCTGGAACCTGAGTTGTCCAGCCCAACTAAGGCCCCGGCGTGCGTCCCGACTACATCTGACCTAAGATTCTCCCAGAAAAAGGTCCCGGACCCCCTCGGGCGCTCTTCCGTCCCCCTCGGACTCCCCCAGCAGCTTCCGTCGTGCAGCCCCCCCATGCCAGTGCTGACAGAAGACGCGATGATGTACTTCCCCTTGGCTTGAAACGCATCCTTCGGCAGCTGAGGGTGCGACCTAAACACGGAGGCTGGAGCTTTAAAGTCTTTGGCGGGAACCGAAAACTTGCCCGCCTGTATGGCGCGGTGGGCCGACGGGGGCCTAGTCAGAGGCGTCGTGACCCCCAACTTCGTAAAAGTCAGAGCTTTGTTCGGGAGATCTACAATCCCACCTGGCATTTCCTGAAATCCTATCGGCAAAAGGGGTGGAACGTCCTGGTCCAGAACGTCCAGCTCCAGCACCCCCCCCCCATGCTACCCTCAATGCCTACAGGGATCAGAGCGGTGTGGGTGGCCAGTGCCCCCCCCCCCCACCTACTCCGCGCGCTTAGGTTCCTGGGTGGGACCCTTGGGACGGCGAGCCCTTTTGAGGCCCAGTGCCCCTCGATCTCCTGCAAAGCTTGCTCTCCTACGAGGCCCTGACCGGCCGCGGTGTCGACCACCATGGCCCCAGGACCTACGGCGAGCAGGACAACTGCGTAGGTTGGAGGAGGAGGCTCGTCAAAGCACTGGGAGGTGGAGTGATCTAGAGCATGCACGTACAGGAAAGTCATACCCGTGGCAGGGGACCCCTTTTTCGTCCTTGGCCCCTGCGCCCTGCTTCTGTGGGCACTCTCGAGACCAGTGTCCCTTCTGATGACAGACACGGCATCTCGCGCGCTTAATTAATTCAGCAAGCGGAAGGCGGCTCTTCCGCGCTCTGAACGTGCCGTCTGCTGCCCTGTGGCCGGGCCTGCGAGCCTTCTCGCGCCCATCGCTGCCGCGGCCCTGGCCAGACCTATCGTAGAACTTCCGGTCGGTCTTCAGCTGTCTCTTCAAGTCGCGGTTCTGCCTCCATGTCTTGCGGCGCTCCTGGTTAATGGCGGCCAGCGCTGCAGGCGCGTCGTCCTCCCCGACGTCGGCCGACTCCAGGATCGCCCAGACCTCTGCTTCCCCGTCTGAGTCCATGGAGGAGACATCCGAATAGTCGAGCAAGGACTCGTCGTCGCGCTCGACCTGATAGGTAGGCACCTGAGGTAGAGGTGCTTCCGAGCCCATAGTGGCGTAGGTCCTCCGTGCTTTGAAATGCTCTCGATGGGAGATGTCCATCTCCCGAATAGCCGAGAGAAGAGAGCCGATTTGTAGTCCTTCTGGTCCCTCATGAGCACCTTGACCATCTGCGCCGAGCGCTCGTCGAGAGAAACTCCTTCCTCCAGGAACATCAGTTTCCACTCGTCTGGAAGCGGCAGCCCCTGAGTAGCTACCCTGTCGAAGGCCGTGTCCACACGTGCATTGTATTCGGTGAGATTATTTCCCTGCTTGCGTGAATAATCCAGTAAGCACTCTCGAGCGACCTTCCGTCGCTCGTCGCCGTGTCTTTCACCGGACATCAAGTCAAGGCGTTTGATAATGGCGTCAAACCCCCATGAGCTGCATAGCGTGTCGTCATCGAGGTCCTCGAGCTTCCGTTGAAGGTCTTGATCAAGAGAGCGGAAGAAGCGATCAGCCTGCTTGTGGGAGGGAACGTCCGTCAGTGTTCTCCAGCGCAGCACCGTGCGGCGCCACATGCGGTAGTCCCCCCAGCCTCTCCATTTCTCGGGGTCGGCGAAGTCCTTGCCGGTGTTCGTGCTGGAGCGGTCGTCATCATGTCCGGAGTGGCGCTTATTGGGCTCCCACTTGCTGTCCTTGTAGCTGTCGTTCCATCTCCATCCGGATGACCAGTCGCCCCGATGCTCGTCTTTCCAAGGCCTGTCCCCGTAGCTCTCCCAGGTCGAAGCCGGAGTCCAGGTGGATCGCGAAGAAGCCCACTGCTGCTCGCCAGGCTTGTAGTCCGGCTCCTGCCATGTGCTTCTCGTCGCGTCCCAGCCACCCGAATGCCACTGCTCCGACCTGCCCTGGGACGTCTCGGTGGCGGACGCGGCCGCGCCACCACCGGACCATGTCCCCGCACTCGTCGACTCGTGCACTGGCGGTGGTGCATGCCAGCCTGACCACGAGCGATCCTCGGCGCTTGACCACGGAGCACTTGAGCTCTGCCCGTGACCGCGCCGACGTCCACTGTCGTCGTCGTCCCCATGTGGGTCACGCTGGTGACTCTGGGAACTGGCAGGCACCACGTCCAGTGGTAGAAGACGTGCCAACTTCTCTGCCTCATCTTGGTCGAGGTTGAGACCGTCATGCCTCATCAGTGTTTCGGTCACTGCCCGTACTGCCGAATGCTCCCCTCGTTCTTCTCGCTGTGTCTCTCGATTAGCACCTTGCTCCGCTGCTGCCGTCATTGGTCCGCGGACTCAGAGCTGCTCACAGCTCCGCTACCACTGTCGCCCGACGGACGACAGCAGTGAAACCATGTCGGATCCTTTCTCCAGCAGGAGAACCCTCGCACTCTCTTCTCAGTACACAGCTCCCAACGCTGTACAAACAAGGCACGGAACGGTATGGGAAAGGAAGAGGGGTAGGGTGGATATGGTATGCGTGATGAGGAATGAGTAGAAGTTGGGTCTTGAGCCAAAATGGTTACGACCCATGCTCGTGACCTTCAAGCTCAGGGAGTAGCAGGGGCATCGGCCTTGAAAACTACAGGCCTCTAGACTCAAATCACACAGTTTGGGTGACCCAAGAGGGGGTCCAGCTGAAAGGGGGTGGTGCAATAGATTTGGGGCAATTGTTCTGCAAATGTACTGCGCAGGAGAATTGTATTGCATTGTAGTGCAAATAATGTATTGCATGCGAAAATCCAGCAATACATTTGCGCCCCGAAATGTATTGCACGCCCCAAATGTATTGCAACCCCATAAATCTATTGCAGCAAATCTATTGCACCACCCCCTTGTCGCTGGACCCCCTTTTGGGTCAACCCGACACAAGCCCCGCTTCCCTCAGGACTAGGTTTATGTTGCTCCCATCGTACCTAGGGACCACATCCCCGAACATAATTTCGAACACCCAGGAGAGCGTCGAAAGAGTGCCGAAAGAGTGTCGAAACAGTGTCGGGCGAGTGTCTCCCAGGGCCCGACACGTGACAACCCTTGAGTTTGGGCACATTTTTGCTGGTGTTCGAAATTATTTCTGGTGGTCAAGGCTAAAACAAGTTGGAATATCATAAGACTAGTTCGGGCAAGTCTTCCTGCGGCAGGTTCGTGTCGTGCCGACTTCGACGTTGGTATTTGACGCCGAGGGGATCGTTCAACCTTGAACGATCGGCCGTTTCCGAAACGTCCAAATCGTTCCACATCGACCGATTCTGGGTCGCCCGCGGCGTTCAACGTTGAACGCCGCTGGCGGGGTCGCCGCTGGTCGACACGACACGAACCTACCGCAGACGGATTTTGGGCGATCAATTAAACAAACTCGAGAAATACCCGCAAATAGTAAAAAGATCGTCCCCAGACGATTTGTTTTACCATATGTTAATATTCCCTCTGTAGAAGGACACGCCCGACTTAGCCTCAGGACCCGCTTCCCCCATGGCGAGGTCCTGGATGTCGTTGTGCAGCTGCCTGAGGTCCTTGGTGATTCCGTGCTCGCGCATCAGCTCGACGAGCCTCTGGCAGTGTGTGACCGTCGCCAGCCGCTTCTCCCTGCTCGGGTCCTTGACAGGGCTGGACCTAGACGTTGTTTTTCGTTTTCGTGTTGTTTTCGTTTTGTTCTTCGTTTTGTTCTACCTGTTTTCCTGCCAAAGCGAAAAACAAAGCACAGCCGAAGTCCAGCAAACGAGCGTTTAGGTCAAGCCCTGCTCCTTGAACGACTTCTGGATGATGGCCCTGATCGCTTCGTCCAGCTTCCCGACCGCATCGACAACCACCTCGTCGGGCAACAGCATGGCCTGGCACCGGTCGATCCTGGCCGTGATGAGCGCGGGGTTCCCGCTGCCGATCGAGGCGGCCAGCTCCTCCTTGGCCTCGGCCACGAGGCGCTCGTGGTCGGTGCTCAGCCTCGCAAGCAAGGCCTCGGCCTTCTCGACGCTCACGGCCCACTCCAGGGCCTGCGCGATGGCCATCTTCAGCGAGGCGAGGACCAGGTGCGTCAGTGGGGAGGCCGTGCGGGCTCTCTCCCCCGCGGCCGCCAGGGCCTCCTCCTCCCGCCTCTTCTCCATCAGCTGCTTCTCCTCCAGGGTGCGCTTCAGGGCCGTGGTCACCTCGCTGAGCACGGTCTCTACCTTCTGCAGCTCCTTCTTCTTGATGAACTTGACCTCCCTCGCCTCCTCGATGAGCGCTCCCAGCTTCACGACGATGCCCCTGTGGTCCAGCATTGCCGCAACCTCCGCGGACGTCTGCGCCTGCTCGGCCTGCAGCCTCGCCTGCACGGCGGACCCCAGCTGGAGCTTGAGCATGGCCATCTTGTCGTTGGCTACCTCCGCCTCCTTCATCATCTGCTTCAACTCCTCCTCGGCCATCCTCACCATCGCGTCCTTGACCTTCGCCGCATGCGCCTCCTCCAGAGCCGCCTTGAGGGAAGCCCATGATACCGCTACTCCCACGGACCCCTCCTGGGGTGCGTTCTGACCAGACTCTCGAAGAGCATCCAGCCGTGGCGGCGAGGGCCCTCCGGGGCGAGCGGCGGCGCCAGCACCCGTCCCTCTCCCGCAAGGATAATAAGACTGGCATCAGCAGAGCCTCTCGGAAGCCCGCGCGGAATTCTGGGACCTGCGCCGGACCACCCCTCCCCGGCGCGCTCCGCGCGCCGAGGGCGCCGCCGGAAAGGCGCCGCCAGGGGGCTCCAGCGCCGAACCCCGAAAATCGGCACGGACCTGCGTCGATGCCGTTCTTTGTGCACCGACGCCGAGCCTTGACGCCGTCGATGTCCTGGGCCTCGAGCGCCCCCTGCAGCGCCACGGTGGCGTCCAGGCGGCGCTTCTCGGCGTGCAGCGCCGCCAGGCGCGCCTGCGAGGGGCACCGGCAGGGGGGGGGACCAGCTGCGGGGGGGAAGCACCGCGCTGGACTCGGCGGTGCCTCGCCGATCGAGCACCGACGGGCCCCCCCCCGACGTCGTTCACTGGGCGGGGTGGGCCCTCGGCCCCCCCCCCCTAAAGGATCGGCGAGGACTGGGCGACCGGGGGTCGAGACATCCCCCCCTGAGCCTAGAGGCCTGAGGATGCTGACGATGATGAGATGAGGAGGAGGAGGAGGAGGAGGAGGAGGAGGAGGAGGAGGAGAGGAGGAGGAGGAGGGAGGAGGAGGAGGAGAGGAGGAGGAGGGGAGGAGAAGAGGAGGAGGGAGGAGGAGGAGGAGGAGGAAGCACCGCCTTGAGTGATAACAGGGAGGACGTCTCGAGGATGAGGAGAATAAAGGATGAGGCACATGAGGATGATTATTATAAGAATGAAGATTCAAATGATAATGAGGAGATGATGATAATGAAGGATGATGATGGGGGCGGAAATTGTCCCCGCCGAGGGCGATGCTCGGCGATGCATCGCCGCGCGCCGGCCATGCGCCGGCGACGTCGGCGATGCATCGGCGACGTCGGTGTGGAGAAGATTGGACCCCACATCGAGCCGCATCGCTGACGCATCGGCGATGCATCGGCGATGCGGCGCGATCCTTCGGCCCCGTCTGCTCCGATCCCATCCAGGAACCCTAGAAGAGAGCGGCTCTTGCATGAGTTCACAAAACCTGGCGCGCGTGGAGGGGGAGGAGCAGCAGCAGGAGGAAGAGGAGGAGGAGGAGCAGGAGAAGGAGGAGGAGGAGGAAGAGGAGGAGGGGGAGAAGAGGAAGGAGGGGGAGGAGGAGAAGAGGAGGAGGAGGAGGAGGAGGAGGAGAGAGGAGGAGGAGGAGGAGGGAGAGGAGGCCTAGAAGCGAGCGAACGAACCACCAGTGCGGACGGCCCTCCGGGCCAACCTGAGACCTGGTGGGAGAGGCCCCAGCCTCCTGGCACACCGCTGCCCGGGAAACAGGCGGCCGTGCACGTGGACGGCGAGACGCTCGTGCACGCGAGCAGCAAGACGAGACGAGCCTGTGACACAGGAGGATGAGGAGGGGGAGGGGGAGGAGGAGGAGGAGGAGCAGAAGGAGGAGGAAGGAAGAGGAGGAGGAGGAGGAGGAGGAGGAGGAGGAGGAGGAGGAGGAGGAGGGAGCAGGAGCAGGAAGCAGGAGCAGGAGGCAGGAGGAGGATGAGGCATGAGGATGAGGATGAGGATGGGATGAGGATGAGGAGGAGGAGGAGGAGGAGGCGGAGGAGGAGGAGAGGAGGAGGAGGAGGGGAGGAGGAGGAGGAAGGTGGGGAGGAGGAGGAGGAGGTGGTGGTGGTGGTGCTTCGAGCCTCGGACTATGAGCAAGTTACAACGTGTTTACTAAAGCATGCGCTCGCCGTGCGCGAAACATTCATTGTGAATGCCCCGCGGTGTCAAAATCTACGGGTGCCCCTTAAACGCCCGAACGGGGACACCAGGGTTCGCTGGGACGGATTGCCAGCTATCGCGCCGGGAGGCCCACGCACCCCCAGCACGTCTAAGGTGGAGGATGAGGAGGATGAGGAGGAGGAGGAGGAGGAGCAGGAGGGGGAGGAGGAGGAGGAGGAGGAAGGAGGAGAGGAGGAGGGGAGGAGGAGGAGGAGGAGGAGGCCCATCTCTCTCCGCCGCTGCCCCCGACGAGCCTCCGCGGGCGCGGTGCTCGCCGCCGCCACGCCGGCTGCGCGCGCCTCCTCGAGGGGCTTCTCTAGGAGCCGGATGCTCTCGCCGAGGCGCGCCTGCAGGGCCTCCAACTCCACCACCGCGTCCTTGAGGCTTCTCCGCGACTTGAGGGACCCCGCCGCCGAGAAGTCCTGCGGGAGGCGCGCGTCCGACCCGAGCACACAGTATACAGCAGCCTGCAGTGCAGCGTTCCCCGCGCGGCAGGGCCAGAAAGCGCCCGCCGCGCGGACTGCATTACGAGATTTGCGAGCGCGCGCGCCGCCCGTGCGTGCCGACGCACATCGAATACAAATATGCTTGTGTGGCGCCGATCCTGGGCAGGAGCGTCTGGACTCGGATCGATCCATCGGATCGGCGATCAAGACGAGCTGGATCTGCGGAAACCGGCAACCGAGTCCGGAGACGCCGCATCGGCGGACCTCGGCAAGCTAGTAGCTGGGCCTCCGTGGCGGAACCGGAACCCAGAATCGAAGTCAAAATCGGCGTCCGAGATCGGACTCGGAAGCCATCGGCATCGAATCGAATCGGAACCGAAGCGAGCCCCGTCCTGGGTCGCGGAGCGCCCGTTCCCCAGCGCCGCCAGCGCCGCCCGCAGCTGCCGCTCGGCGGCTGCCCGCCGCAGCATGCTCTGGAGCTGGGCCTCGCGGGGGGCGTGCAGGCGTGGGGCGTCCTCCTCCTCCTCCTCCTCCTCCTTCTCCTCTTTCTCCTCCTCCTCCCTCCTCCTCCCCCTCCCTCCTCCTTCCTCCGGCGCGCCGCCGCCGAGGGGGGGGGGGGCGCAAATCGTGGCTTTAGAAGCCCGAAAGGGGTGCGGAAAAGATGGGTACAGTGCCCCTCCGCAAATGGTTGTTCAAAAGCAGCAGCGGCTGCGGATGGGCCGGCGGCTGTTGCCTTCAGTGTACGACGTCCGCGGCCTCGCGGACAGCGAGCCCTGTAAAAAAAAGACAAGCGCTGCTGTGGGGCATCGTAACCGTTATTACAATACCCATTCCGATCGTCCCGAATAGCGGGCGGCATGCGCGCGGCCGAGAGGGGAGGCCGGGACGTTTGGAAAAAAGAAGGGGCACCGTGACATCTGGGGGGACACCGCCTCGACATCCCCCCCGCAGTTCAGGGGGGCCTCTTGGGCCGTCGTTGGAAGGGGGGGAGGATTGTTCCCGCGCTTCGCTCCCACTGGGCCCCACCTCCAGGGCTTCGCCTCACCAGAGCGTCATCACTCCTACCCTACTGTTTCCCCGTCATGCTCGTTTGTTGCCTGGTAATCGCCACACCCCTTTGGACTAGAAGAAGAAGAAGAAGACGAAGACGAAGAAGAAGAAACGCCACAAACATAAACTTTGGGGCGCTCCGCGCGGATTTCTCGGACCTGCGCTGAACCTCCCTGCCAGGGGCGGTGCCGGAGGTGCCGCCGGATCCCCAAAATCCGCGCGGAGCGCCAACAATTTATGCTTATGGCGTTTTTCTTCTTCGATTTTGGACCCCCCCGAGCCTTGGCCGCGGCCACCCTCGCCGGGTCCACGCCCATCTCCTCGGCGTGCTTTATGGC